ATCTCCTCCACTGTGGCCGGCGCGACGGCGTTGGCGTCCACATAGATTAGCGGCTGGCTCGCGTGTGCGCGCACGCCCTGCGTGACGAGCGCGCCAACCTCGGCCGCAAGTGGCAACGCTGCCGCGGGCGGGAGCACGCTGACGAGCACGTCGGCGTCAGCCACGACCTGCGTGAGCGGCACGTCGTGCAGCCCCGCCCCGCGCGCACGTTCGCGCGTCACGTCCGAGCGGCCGGCGCAGCATGTCAGCAGGCGCAGGGCCGGGGCGCGCGCGTGCAGCTGCGCGGCGAGGGCCGTGCCCATTGCGCCGGGGTAGAGAAAAGCGATGGTTGTCGGGGCGGGGGGCATTGTGGGTTGGGTGTGGTTGTGGTGTTGGGATGATGACTGTGTCTTGGTGTTGTTGTCAGGCCGAGAGATGGAAGCTAAGGGCACAAGATGGCGTCACGTGCACACCTCATGACGACTCGGAGAGCCCAGTCCAGGCGCAGTCCGGCACATGCTGCACATCCTAGCCCGCCATGTGCAGGCCTTGCGGTTGCCAGCTCGCATGCAGAGAGGCTGTTAGCCTTGTGGTGTCGTCGTTTGGCCTGGACGCCAAGAGTGTGGTAATGCCACCATAAAAGCCTCGACGTTAATGATCAAACACTTCTGCAAACACTTTTCCATCTTCTTCATCCCGTCGACACATTCGAGACACTCTTTGTCGCCTCCAGCTTTTAACAAGATCTACATGAACATCAATCAGGTTTCTCTGGAGAACCTCTACTCCGGCAATGGGAAGCTCTCATATCCGTACAGGATTGGAAAGCGGTTCTCATTTGCAAGACAGTCGCACGAGAGGACGGACGGTGTCGGTAAGTCGCAGTAGATGTGGACCTCAGCCTTCTGTACCCGTGTCGCTACAAGCACCATAGCCTCCCCGGCGCGCATCTCACCCAAGCGCACGCATTCCAACCCGCTGGCAAACGTCCACAGCAAGGAGTTTCTGCTCCGCCCAATGTCCACCGCCAGCATAAAACTCGATGGGGCCGTCATCTACCACGCATTGGCCTTACTGGACAATGCTGTGGAGGGCATTCACGCGGCCGACCCCAAAGGCATCTGCAGGACAGACCCCCCCCCCCTGATCAAGCAGTTTGGTAGCTGCATGCCGCTCAAGATCCGGCCCGAGGCCAAAGACAAACGCATCATGCGCGACCTCGTCCGTGACAGCAAGGGGGTCTGGGTACAGGACTCGGCGACCGGGATGACCTACGCAGAGTTCCTTAAGCGCATTGGCAAGGCCCCTGATTACACCTGTCGTATATACTGGTTCATGTTCTGCAACATGAACATTGACCTGGTGAACGCTGCCAGTTACCAGGACTCAGACAAACGGTCTGCCTATGGTCACAACCAAAGCTCGAAAGTTGCAGACGTGAGTTGCAACTGTGGCTCTTTCCACCCACTGACACAAAGCGCCAAATTGCTCGCGGAGACGCGGGAGCTGTAGTGATGGCTTCACATGTGCATAAGCAACAAAAAACACTTTTTGCCTTCATGACCGTTCCCTACGGGAACACAGGGAACTACATTCTAGCCACCCAATCTTACGTCGACGCCGACGAGATGAAGAACGACTTGGAGATCGAGCCGTCAATCGGGGCAGCGGGGAGAGGGTTGGCAGCGGGCACGTCGGCGGCGGCGACCTTGAAGGTCGACTCGTCAACAGTAGTGTTGTTGAGCGAGATCTTGCCGGCAGCAGACTCGCCCTTGACGAGCTTCTTCCAGGCCAGGTTGCACTCGCGGACAATCTCCTCGGCGTACTGTTTTCTTTGTCAGCTCGGCCGTCACAACATCCTCGATCGTCACGACGTCTCCAAACTTACCTTGCGCGGCTTGGCTTCGCCGGAGAAGGCAAACACGTTCTCAGGCTTGCCGTCAGGGATCTTGTAGATCCTGCACAATGTCAGCCTCGAAGCGCTCGAAGAGCAAAGAGACTCACCGGAACCACTCATTGGTGGCACGGAGGAGACCGGGGAGGTGCTGCTCAACGTCCTCAATGTCGTTGAGCTTGGAGGCGAGGGGGTCGTTGACGTCGACGGCAATGACCTTCCAGTCGGTCTCGCCCTCGTCGATCATGGCCATGATGCCGAGGACCTTGACCTGCTTGACCTGGCCAGTGTAGCCGATAGCCTCGCCAATCTCGCAGACGTCGAGGGGGTCGTTGTCACCGACGGCACCAGTCTCGGGGTGCTTGACGGTGGGGTCCTCCCAGGTCTGGGGGAACGCG